CCTTAAGCAATAATCTAACGATCTCTACTGATTGTACGAATACAAACATCGGATAAATTCTTTATCTTTAGGGAAAGATAATGTAATCTAAACATACACAAGTCCTAACTAAAAATAATAACCGGAACGGGAAACCCAAATAAAGTTAATATTTTTTGTATTAGAAACAACGAGTGGAAAATATATTCAAATCAGAATTCTAATTATGAATCACCACAAGCAAAATCTGCAATTTTTTTTTACTGTATTCAGCAAGTAAAAATCATAAATAGTAAAACTAAAAGATTACAGAAAGGCTACCTACATTTTTTAACCGATTTCAACAAAACTTCACTTTTTTTTTGGCATGTAGTGTTTCTTATTGTCTTGCACACGTTTTTCTTTATTTTTACATTCAGAATGCTTTCCTTTAAAAATTCCATTTACAAGACAATTGTTTATAAAATTATTCTATTCAATCGGGAGACTCATAACGATTGAAAACAATGTTTTTGTTTGAGTTTGGGTTTGACTAAAAACTAATTAAGACATGCGTGTCCGTCAACCTTAAACAATAATCTTTGTCAATTTTATTTTTCAGTCTTTATGATGGTGGATACTTGATCTATCTCTTACTGTTATATCCCCGGACAACGCCGGGCTCTACTGCTAGTCATATATATATATATATATATATATATATATATATATATATATATATATATATGAATAAATATAGTCTTAAGATGTGCTATATTTATGGGATAAAGTGCTCAATATCAGAGATAGAGCGTGTGCAAATTTAAAAGTAAGCATAGAAGTCAAAACTTAGAGGCGACAGTCTGTTTCATGCTAGACGTAATACCTTACTTGGGATTTTTCTATACTTTCATGGTAATTGTTCTGGTGTACTTTCCTCTATGTTACTTAGAGATGATGAATTTACGCGCAGTACTAGATTGGCAGCAAGGTCTCATTAGTTTACAGTTGAATGATAACATTTTCTTCTATCGCACTTTTCGCTTGTAGAAACTTCTTCCGGCTTCTTCATTCCCAGCCAACTTTGATTTTAAAAAATGTAAATCGTTATATACTGTCTTCTTGATTCTTGATCTTTTTTAATAGTGTTGTTCTTTTTTTCTTTTTCTTTTTTTTCATATTCTCTAAATTTCAGTTACCCGCTTGCGTCTTCTTAAATGTATATATATTCATCCAAACAAAATTAATTGTTAAATTCAATCGACAAATTCTCTCGATTTAATTTTTTAGTATATTTCACCAATTCCTATAATTAAGCAAAGAAACCTTACTGAGTGAATTTAACAAAAAAATGTTTATATACCGGGTGTAACAGCAATTATTGTCCAAATCGTGTAATAGCAAAATTTTTCAATTGTTAGATTAAGCTTTGAACCGTTGTATTTTAGAAATGATTAAAGATATCTTACTGGAATTCTCCGAGGTTTTTATAACACTATTGGACTCTACTTTGTGCAATAAGAATGTATAATTACTCTCCAAGCTTAGCAGAAGAATCGTGATGAAATCGATCATCAACAAAAATGACATATTAAACATTAATTAATCATAAGTGAGGAGCGGAATTGAAGTAAAGTTCAAATATATATATATATATTTTGTATCGAGCACTATTTTTTAAAAAATAATAACTAAAATACTAAGGAACTTTGGATTATTTACCTAACCAGTTCTTTCCTCTTTTCAATATATTTTCACACACACACACACACACACACACACACACACACACATATATATATATATATATATATATATATATATATATATATATATATATATATTATTCCAGGATCATTTTCAGCCTATTCAAGATGATCTTCGCCCTATCAAACATTCTAACTTTCTGTCCTGGTGTAACAAGATGCCTCACAGGTTTCACGTACGATTTCATTTTCAAGTTTTTTTCACTGTTTTGGACAGTCATAGGTGAAACTGCTCTCTCACGAACCAAACGTCACATGGATTGAGTTGGCTATTTTCTAATTGATCTCTTTAGCTCAAAGTTGAAATGAGATTCCCTCTTTAGGCTGTGACCTCTTGATCCAGTTTTCCTCTCTATTGTTCCCTTTTTTTAAAACATATTCACTCTTCTCTTGATGATTCTTAAATGGACTTTGAGAATGGAAGCCAGTTTATACCATTACTGAATGCCTCTATGTTTGTTTTCTCTCACCATTGGTCATTTGGGATGAAAGTGGGACGGAAACAAAACGATTTTAACCTATTCTCTTTCTAGGTGAATAAAAATAGTGTCAAGATGTCTAAACGTACTATCTAAAAACCTGAAAAAAAGAAACAATTAGTTTAGTGTTTTTTTTTTTTTTTTTAGATATTAAAGATTTTGTGGATATCGACAGACGGTCGGCATCTGGAGTGCGAAAATGTAAAGTAAGTTATATATATATATATATATATATATATATATATATATATATAGTCATACACACACACACACACACACACACACATATATATATATATATATATATATATATATCCTACAGGGGTAAAAACATAGGAAAAAGTTGAAACTGCAACCTGAGATTTTAAGAATATTCATTTTGTGTAACTTTACCGATTTCTCAGTTCTACGAGTTTTTCAAAAGTTAAATTGAGATATATATATATATATATATATATATAGCACGAAGTCACAAGTCATCGTGACCAAGGGTTTGAGTCTGTTTGCTTTGATCGCATTGTTGATCACGCTAGATAACACGCTCTTTTCCAGAAACTGTAAGGTGTGTTCTGTTGATTTTTAACAAACACAAATGTGTCTGAGCAAGCGTCTGCAATAGGGATTGGCCAGCGACCCTAGTTGACAGTTATCCTCAAATACGAGTGGCCATATATATATATATATATATATATATATATATATATATATATATATATAGGCAGTAAATTCTTTTTTAGACGTGTCTGATTAAATAATTACAAACATTATGTCTGCTTATTATATAATCCGTTCATATTCACAATTATTTTTTGTGTATTACAATCAAATCATGCAAGAAAAAATTCCATAGCGGATAATATTTCACGTTCTAATGAACGCTAAAGCATAACTGTCAACTGTTGCATTTAAATGCAAAAAGGCGAAGATTCAGTTAAGGATAGCAATACATAGTTTTTGCCTTACCAGTTGAACCCCTGATGATGATCTAAGAAAGAAATGGAAAATACTTGGGGAATAAAAGTGATTTTGGCTGTTAGAGTGCATTTCTTTCATCATCTGATTGTAATACACGGAAAAATATCCGTAAGTGTGAACAGATTATGCTAAAAATAAGCAGACATAATGTTTGTAATTTATTTAATCACACACACACACACACCTACACACAAAACACATATAGATATATGTATGTATGAATGTGTGTGTGTATATATATATATATATATATATATATATATATATATATATATATATATATATATATATATATATATATATATATATATATATATATATATATATATATATATATATATATATATATATGTATGCGTGCGGAGGGCTACTAATGTATCCAATTCCTTATAGCAGTTTTCACTTTTTATCACTTCCATAACGTTTGTCCCTCAGTACCTCTTTTTCATTGGGGCAAAGTGATGGAAATCTCAGATGATGATGAAAAAGTGAACCCTGATGCAAGGAATTATCTTCATCAACAGTCAGCTGAGTTTTACGAGCCTGGGATACATGCCCTTATTCATAGGTGAAACACTGCCACTGAAATATGTTAAATAGAGATGCGAACCTGTGATGTATAGCTATATCTTGATGCCCGATATGTTTGATCGTTTTCTTTTTTTTCTTATATAATAAAACAAATTGTGTCACCTTTTTGACTGACCATCGTTGACTTCCTACAGGATTTTTTCTAATCCTATAATTAATACAGGAATTTTAGAAACCTTTAATAAATACAGGATCAGATTTTACGGTGAGCACTTATGGGTAAGCTTAGTTATTATCCAGCTGCATTCTCAAATTGATTGATAATGTAGTGAATTATTGTGAACTTGTACCAGACATGTTTATGTTTAATAATTATCCTTCATGAGGTATTCTTGTGTTCATCGTAGTATATACTTGACAACATTAATTTAGGATAAAACTGATTTGTATAAGAATGGTCAACGAGTAAATTGTGTCTTCTCCACAAAAGGAGGCTTACCGCCACATCACGCTAAAACACCGGTTCCTGTACAATCACCGAAGTTAAGCAACGTCGAGACTGGTCATTACTATGCCGGGTGACCAGGTGCTATAAGCTTGCGTGTGGTGATAATGAAGTCATATCTAAATATTGGCTGGTAAAAATATCAGAAGTTGAAGGGATCTAAAGAGAAGATTACTGAGGTATCAGATGGTGGTAATACAAGTTGTCATATTAGTAATAAGAGGACAACGAAAATATATGTATTGTTGTATCCGAAAATGCTATTGGAAATGAGTTATTGTTTTTGGAGCGCGCAGTAGCAGTAGCATATCTTATTACTAAGAGAAAAAACAAGAACAACATCTATTCCATACCTGAAGATGTCTGTAGGAACAGACGAAAGCTTGTAGTAAAAATAAGAACTAATACGGCAGAAATTTATAGAAACAAGGATCATTTCATTCATAACGGATTCGGAGGTTTTTGTATATTATTTGAATTGTTTGCGACGATGGATTTCTCGCCAATTAAACCATTAACCTTTGCATTTGTTTTTTGTGTGAATAATTCATGAATATATATATATATATATATATATATATATATATATATATATATATATATATATATATATATATATCACTATCTACTTTTCTATCTATCTGTCTCTGTAATATCCATCTATATATGCATGTTCATTATCTAATTATCTATCTCTGTTTAATACCTATCTCTCTGTCTCCATATATATATATATATATATATATATATATATATATATATATATATATTATATATCTTCTATCTTCAGACTAAACTCAGCTTACATAGATAGATAGATAGATAGATAGATAGATAGATATTATTATTATTATTATTATTACATTTTCCTGTAAGTCTCACTCTGATATGATTTTCTGTGTCTCTTTCAATCTATCAAAGACCTCTCTTATGGCTGTTAATCAGACTTCCATTTTTCACTTCGGATTGAGTATATCTTGCGCAAACTATCCTTACCTTTTTGCTGATAGATAGATAGATAGATAGATAGATAGATAGATAGATAGATATTATTATTATTATTATTATTACATTTTCCTGTAAGTCTCACTCTGATATGATTTTCTGTGTCTCTTTCAATCTATCAAAGACCTCTCTTATGGCTGTTAATCATTTTTCACTTCGGATTCGGTATATCTTGCGCAAACTATCTTTACCTTTTTGCTGATAGATAGATAGATAGATAGATAGATAGATAGATAGATAGACTCGGAATTGTTAGTCGGAGAGTCCAGTTTCATTCCATTCGGGTTCGTTATATTTAATTACGCGCAAAACCTTCAGGAAAGGTATGGATCCCCCCTCTCCTCTACCCAGCTATGGGTTAATTAGTAAAACTTGAATAACTAAAATGTTATTATTATCTTTATTATTATTATTATTATTATTATTATTATTATTATTATTTCCTTTGATTTCTGGTGTGTACTCATTAATTTCCGGGTCCCGACCAGAGACCTAAGGTCAGAAATGGCATCTAGACATTTTCTACTGAGCAATTTTAAAAAATAAAGGAAAAAAATTCTTACAGTGTAAAAACATTTTTTTAGCTATAAATAACCTGCAAGGGGTTGATAAACCGTAAAAAACGAATCAATCAACAATCGAAAGTGAAGAACAATCATTCTATCTCTGACTCTTTTGTTCATTTTTATTCTTTAAACTTCGTTCTCTGGAGGTATTTCGATGCTACACATTTCACATTCAGATAAAAAAAATTGGTGTGATTTATGGAAATTATTTTGTTGTTTGAATTTTTATATCTTTTCCTGAAGATTTGTATTGGTTCAGTCAGTTATGTGCCATGCGTGATACACGCTTAGACGATCATATATCTTTCGATACATGACCGACGAGGCATATTTTTTTCCCGCAGTAGGTTCTTTCTTTCTTCATTTCTTTCTGCGATAGACCAGTTGCCATCCAAGACTATAGAACACGGTCTGTCCTGCTACTTACCCATAGCTGGTGTGTGGGGGAGAAGAAGAGGATTCATACATTTCCCAAGGGTATTAGAACGTAAATGAATGTATTTAATTCGACTGGAATTCGAACTCGGCTCTGTAAGTTCATAATCTTATATTGAATTGTTTTAGCACTTATTGCATAAATCATTCAAACTAATATTATCACTTGCCTTGTTTTTATCACATATTTTTTTACATTCTTACTTGAATATCGATGACAATTGGAAATCTTTAGGGGAAGATTCTTTTATGAATTTCTTTATTTCTTTAATTATGTGCATTATTATATTATATATGATTTTATTGTGATAATCATCGAGTATTAAAACAGCATTCGCCCCAAACTCCACAAACTAATTCAAGGTAAATATGAGAATGTTTAAATTCTATTTTAGAAAAACTACAATAATTTCAAGTATTAATGGCATTTATATCTTCAATGAAATAATGTTTGGGTGGATTTTACATTTCATTGCGCTCAAAATATTTGATTTGGTCTTATTCAATTTTAAAATCCATTTCATTTTCATTGAGACGTTATGAAAAACAAATCATATGGAAATGGTTATTAGACTTAATGATTTAGACTAGAGATGAAAAAGAAAATTCAGAATGATGTGAACAAATATCAGTTAAAGGATGGTAAGAATCGAAGAAAAACGAAGGAAGAAAAATTAAGGAAAAACATGGAATTCAGAATAAGGTAGAAATGAAAAGAAGTGAAAATAAGATGAGGGAATGGAATAAAATTTAAGACCGGAGTAGAAAGAAAAAAGAAGAAAAATAAAACAAGAGAATGAAACAAAATATCAAAAGAGAGCTGTAAGCAATAAGGAGAAACATTGAGAATTAAAGATTAGCTTCGGAAGAAATAAAAGAATTATAAAAAATAGTCAAGAATGAGAATAAAACTTATTTCGAACAAAGTAAAAACTGATATCGAAAGGAATAAAAGAATAAAAACTTATCTAGAATAAGATTTAAAACTGATACCAAAAGGAATAAAAGAATAAAGACATATCTAGAATAAGAATTAAAACTGACACCGAAAGGAATAAAAGAATAAAAACTTATCTAGAATAAGAATTAAAAGTGAAACCGAAAGGTGTAAAAGAATAAAGACATATCCAGAATAAGAATTAAAACTGATATCGAAAGGAATAAAAGAATAAAAACTTATCTAGAATAAGAATTATCAGAAGGCACAAAAGAATGAGAAAAATCAAAACAAGAATAAAAACAGATATTGAAAGGAAGGGAAGTATGAACTAAAATAACAAGAAAGATTTAAAAGTAGAAAATGATGACCAAATACTACATCATTATTAACTGAAATAATAATCACGAATGTCATAGCAATAATAATAATGACAGTAAACATAAATTATCACAACCATGAAGGAAAAAAACAATTCTGCGGTTAGAAACAGAAATATTTGATGAACACTGTTGTGGCTTAAAAACTTCCTACCGATTACTGTTTGATCAACCCTGACATTTTTTTTCGCTAATCGCCGATTACTCCAAACTCATTTGATCATTTGGCCATAAATTTAGGCACAGATTTAACAGAGGCATACATTCCACGATACGATCTGTAGCGAATCAAAGATGATTGAAAACGAATACAAGAAAGAAAGAGAGAAAACAGGGCGGCCGATGAGACTGAAATAAGATTATCAAAAAAGAAAATAAGAAATCCAAACGAGAATATGGTAGATTCATACATTAAGGGAAGAAGAAGAAGAAGACAAACAAAAGTACATATGGAGGAAAAAACATAAAAGAGGTAAAATGTAGGAAGACATGAAGAAACGAAGATGGTTTAGAAAAGAAATGCAAAAAAGAGATACAAGACTGAGACAAATTGAAAGAAGGAAAAATCAGCTAACATTGTAAAGGAAAGGTTTGAAGTATAAATGGAAAGGCGATGAAGGGGAAAAAAAGAAAATAAGACTAAATTCAAAAGAATTTAATGTGGAAAATGGCGGACCAGATGAAATGCTAAGAGAAGAAAATGCAAAGAGTGAAAAATGCAAAAAAGGCGGGAAGGTGGTAAAACGGAAGATAATGTGCAAGGGAAATGACGAAGAGTGGAATCAGAGGCAGTTTAGAAAGAAAGAAAGAAAGAAAGAAAGAAAGAAAGAAAGAAAGAAAGAAAGAAATTTATAAGGAAAGGTAAAATATAGCAAGCAATCGTAATCGACATTAAATAGCAAGTAATCAAAAGAAAAGAAAAAATAGAGCAATTAAAAGAAAGATAAAATAACAAGCAATTGAAAAAAAAAGAAAGCAATAAGTAATCAAAAGAAAGAAAGATAGAAAATAATAAGCAGTCAAAGAAAGAAAGCGGGACAATCAGGAAGAAAGAAATAAAACCGAGAAGGAATTAATCAGTGAATGAATGATCCCAATGTCGTAGACTTTGAAAATTATTAAGCGGAAATGAATAATTTTCTCACATTCACTTGGCGGTTGGGGTTAGGTCATTCTCCATCAAAAGGTTGTGGTCAAAAGAACGCCTGCCGATTGGCGGCCATTTTTGAACAAAGATCAAATCCGCTTTGAGCAATTGATTTATTAGGGTTCACTACTTGTCGCCTTAGTAGACCAAAAGACCAAACAAGGCGGGTTCCTTCCAGAAACAGATCAGAACTCAATGCATCTTTTGATGTTATCGACTGCTCCTATAAAACTATTTAATTATGTGGATAACACGTGGCCTTCAATATCGCCCAAGAAAAGACTATCTGTCGATAAGGAATGAATGACTATTAAGCAACTGTAATTATAACAAACAAGGCGTTCCGATGACATGCTGAGACGACGTAGAAAAAGAGATAAACACCAAATGTTACCAGATTTCTTTCATACTCTTCTTGCGTCGGCAAAATAAACTCTTGATGACGCTCAATTATTAATCAATTAAATATTATATAAAAGACCCGCCAGGTATTGCAGATTTTACAAGCATACAAATACTGAGGTAAACTTAATCATGTTCTCACACATGCGCATGTACACATACTTAATCACAAATCGATGTGTTTTCAGTAAGTTATATAATATTTTCTGCCAGTTTATGTTATTCATTAACAGAGGCACAAAAGACTTCATTTTGACGTCATGTCCACTCTCGATGTCGATTGGTCCATTCAAACATCCTGATAGAAAACATTTATCGAATGACTTTTGGTTTTTTCTAATACTTTTATGATCACTTTATATATGCAGATTCATATATATATATATATATATATATATATATATATATGTGTGTGTGTGTGTGTGTGTGTGTGTGTGTGTGTGTGTGTGTGTGTTGTAATATAGCAACAACTCAAAGTAGAAGCTTATAAAGCTTATTTGGATTAATTCAGCTTTAACGTTGAAAAGTTTATTTTATTATAGTGGATGGTTACAAGCGAGAGGAGGATGGGATGTGCATATTTTATTATCACACAGACAAGCACATACACACACACACACATGTGTGTGTGTTGGGGAAACTCGAGGTGGTGTAATGGTTAGTAAGCTTGTCTCGTTAGAACAATTACGACTGACTAGTGAATTCGATCCTACTGGGTGCCCCTTACTTTGCCACATCCAAACTAGGTATGGAAAATCACTATACATATGTGTGTGTGTGTGTGTGCGTGTGTCTGTGTGCGCGTGTGTGCGTGTGTGGTGGCATGCTGGAGTAATGGATATCGGTGCTTGGTTTCAGGAGTTGTAACACCTAATTCGAAACCCGGCCGAATCCGTTACATTCACTTACGTCTTGCGAAAGGTATGGATCTATCTATCTAAACAGCAAGACAGACTGAGTCTAGATACCCTGTATATATATATATATATATATATAGAGAGAGAGAGAGAGGGAGAGAGAGAGATTGAGAGAGAGAGAGATTGAGAGAGGAGGGTGATAGATAGATAGATAGATAGATAGATAGATAGATAGATAGATAGATAGATAGATAGATGTCGGGTGGTGTCATGGAATTATGGGTTAATGGCAGCACTTTAATGAAATTTCCAGGAATTAAATTTTATCCCTCTTCATATTTATATTAGTTGAAAGAAGGACTCTTTCATTTTTTTTTTTCAAACAGTTACTCATTTACCGAAAATTTGCTCTGAATCGTAGAATAAAAAATGCAATGAAATGAAGACATTATTTAATTAGAAATAATTTTAATTGCTTTTATAAAAAAGATATATTAAAATCACTATTGTCCTAAGAAAAAAAATTCGATGAATAATTAATTTTTACAAGATTTATTTTCATCTGTTTACATTTAATTAGAATAGCTTATTTAGTTTTAAATATTTTAAAATTCTGTCTTAATTTATCCTTTTTAGATGATATGATATTATTATTAAGTGAAAACAATATTTACTAATCATAAATTGAAAAGCTTAGTTCAAATTATCGCACACCATTATTTTTAAAAGAATTTTGAATTTTTTTTTATGCGTATAAACGTGCCTAATTTATATATACTGTTGACCAGACACGACAAAATAAGAGCGATAACTATAATAAATTTACTGTCAAAATATTTAAAATTCAATAAAACATTAGATTATGGAGACTATTTTGTTAAATTTTTAAGATTACAGAGGACTTATAAACTATATATAAAAGGCGCTCACATTAATTTAATCACATTTTTAACGCCTGAAGCCCTCGTAGAACTGCACTGGATAAATATCAATCTGTCACCAAGTTGACGAAACCTGCGAACGCCTTAAATAAACAGCTACTGTCTGGTTTAAAAATGCATTTCTTCGATAATTTAATCTTAAGTAAATAATAGTCGCTTCAAATCACATTAATTATACTTGAAATCACTTAATATTCCTCAAATAAAATTTCAGAAAACTATATTTTATTTCTGAAAGATTTTTTTAATAAAGAGAATGACATTGCGATGAAAGATGACTAAAAAAGGGCGTTAATCACATATTTTAACAAAAAAAAAAACTCCTTCCAGTGAATTTTAACTAGTTTTAAATTAGTTTTTGAAATATAGCAAAGTATTTTTCTTATTGGAAATATTAAATTTAACGTATTTGCTTGAAACTAAAACTAAAATAAAAGCTTAAAGAAAGATTTTTTTTTCATTTTAAACATTAGGTGACATTTTTTTTTTGTTGGGGGGAGTTACATATATATAATTATATATTTCCCTAGTTCAGTCGTGTCGAGTGGTTGGATAGAGCTATGGTTCAAAATTAATATTAAGCCCAAACTTCAGGGACCGTCTTCCTCAAGCCCTTCCTTTTCGGGGCGGTTGGGGCGGGAGGAGTGTCCCCCGGTGTTTGAGCAGTGTTGTATGCTTATAACGCACCACATTAAAACTGACCTTGAGTCACATTCTTTACAAGTAGGCGTACAGATAAATACATACATATATATATATATATATATATATATATATATATATATATATATATATATATATATATATATATTTGATTTCTTTCCGATCATCCCACATTTCCTGTTTCTTATCTCTCGCATTTGCAACTGCTTCTTGACTTGTGGTTATGTCTACTCTCTTAATCATCAACCAGTCACAAACTCTTGTGCTTTTTCATACCTAATCATGCAAGTATTTGCCTTTGCTTTTATACACTTATTATTATCGCCGATTTCTCTGTCTGTTGAACGTTTCGCTACAGACGGGTTTTTTTTTTTACAGTCGTTCACCCAATATGTAAGGCACAAGAGCTTACTAATAAAGAAAAGGCTTACTGAATGAAGTTCTTGCAAGGCTGTAAGAAGAGCAGGTTATTGGGATATGTAGGATAGATGATGGTTCACTCTAGATTTGGAGGAATGAAGATCATAGTGATCGGGGACGCATCCCCTCGGGTGTCTGCTCCACATAGTAACTGTTCTTGGGAAGAAGCAGTTCAAGTGGTATTTCCTTCTTACCAATATATTACAAATAGAATGAGGATGAGCCTATGTACGTGTCATGACTAAAAGTCTGTACTGGTGGAATGTAGCTCCTCAAAACATTTACCATGGAAATAGCGATAAAGAAGCCATAAACTTGTGGGGCTGCGTCTGTGGGAGAGAGGTTGTTGGGTGTAAAATAATTAATTACCCACAAGATCAAGTAGACGCTTTTGAACTCAATGCTGAAAAGTAATGATTGAAGTAAGGATTTACCGATGCCAATATTATATTTTGTCTCGAAAACATGTTTGTCTTTCGTTCTGTATTATTTTATTTATGTTCCCTGTCGTTCATGACCAAAAAAGAAAACGATTATATTAAAAAAAAAAAGTTCCTACAACTTCAGTACACAATAAATGTCTTTACATTGGTCATTGTGAGATTAAATGTTTCTTTCATTCAGAAATATGTGGAGAAATTAGAAGAAACCAAAATGGCTTAATATTTTCTTTCGTGGATGGCAAAACTATACAAATTCGCACGTTGCTTTAGTCACAAGGTGGCTTTTATGAAAATTCTTCACACCAAAAACTAAACAATTCTTCGCATACCACAATTTACTCACTTTTCTCACTACAAAATTCACGCACCATTCCTCATCGCAAAATTTACACAATTTTCTCATGTAAAGACACACACTTTCTTATTTCAAACTTTACGTACTTTTTCAAACACCAAAAATTTGCATAATTTTTCTCATATGATTACGCACAAAATGTTTCTTATACCAAACATTGCACACTTTTTCGCATGACAAAATTTAATAATTTTTTTTCATATGTAGTAATTTAATCTTTTTTTCTAATATAAAAATTTAAACACTTTTCCTTATACAAAGATTTGTGCACTTTTCTTATATCAAAATGTGCACACTTTTTCTCACGTCAAAATTTATTAACTTTTTTTCATGTAGAGACTCACATACTTTTTCTAATATCAAAATTTAAACACTTTTTCTCATACTAAAATTTACGCAATTTTTCTTATATATTTATTCTTATATTCTTAATTTGCACAATTTTCTCACACAAAAATTTACTCACATTTTCTCATATGGAAAATTACGCAATTTTTTTATACCAAAGTTTATACACAAAAGATTAGTGGCAAAAACTAATTTTATATAGATTTCAAAAGCTGATTTCCCACCTAAGTTTAAAAAAAAAAAGGAGTTCGAACACTAATTTTCTAGGCAGGTATTATTAATATCTATCTACATTAGGTGTCTTACCGTTTGATAGTGTGCCATGAAGAGCAGTAAATATCAATAAAGCACAAGAAATTTTAATGCAATAATGACTTCATAAAACGGAACACAAGTTAAAATATTGAATTCAAATTAAAACACTTTCCGCAATTTATTTACTGCAATAAATTATGTGTACTTTTCTAATTTTAATCCAATTATGAGGAGGGCATATCTCAGTATCAATTAATTTTCTTTGATGACTCAACTCTCCAAGTTTTTGCTCCCCTAAAAAGGTATGGCAAGTGGAATTAGAACAATCTACCCATGTGGAATAAATAAATCCCTCCGAAATTCCAACATATATTATCTGAAGAAGGACCTCGAGGCGAGGTTAGCAAGCTTGTCTCGCTAGAACACTTACGACTGGGTAGTGAGTTCGATCCTCACTTGGTGCCACCAGACTTTCAGCCTTGTGCTACATCTAAGCTACGCTTTAAAAATTGCTATATCAACTGAAGAAGGTCGGAGAGTACAATCGTCGTGAATACGGCAATGAAGATGAGGACAACGATGTAAGTAGTTACAATAGCTCTTCTCAGAAATATAAACAGATATTGAAAATTTTGTTTAATATTTTTTTTTTCATTTCAAGTATAAAGATGCTATTCACTCGAAAAAAGGCGTTTTGTGTTTTGTATGCTGGAACACAATCGAACAAGACTGTGCAGCGTGTACAAGTGAGAGAATTCGCTTAAAATGCACCAAATGAAGTGCAGATATGGACGTAGTACAAAATGTTCAAGGAGGAGGGCTCTTTCTTCAGAGAAAAAGATCTGTATGACCACTAATATTACAGCCGGTGCACATCTTGAAAACTTGTGAAATCGTTCAAATTTTGATAAATAAATTTTATTTTACTCAACAATAAACCCGTTTAGTTTCATTTACCTAAACAATGTAGTTACTCAGATACTTACATCTCGAATGATATCAAATTTGCGTCTGTGTGTGGGTGTATTACCATGGCTTTTAAGGAAGTGGATTCCAGTTCTTTCTTATCTGTGAATTGTCATGAAATTTTGGTCAAATCGTTTCCTGTTGCCTTTTCCACAATTTTGAAGTTCTCCTGCTCCTAGACTGGCTGATAATGAACGGATCAAAATCCCAGCCTACCCTGCTTGGATTTAAGTTGAGTTTCAAAGAACAGATGTATTCCTGTCTTTTTCAATACTTCCTATTCTCTTGCTTTATTATTAAAACATATGAATTATTTCACATTCGTTTCTCTAATTGTCCATTCATCATGAAATTTCCATTATCTCCTGCTTATTTTTCATTTCATTTCATTTGCTTGTAATTGTAATAGGCTTCATTCTACTTTTCTTTTTTCATATTGTGCTGAATACGGTTCAAAATAATGAACATGCAGCTTAGAATCATACAAAATATTCCACCTATATAAAATAATATGTACGTATATATATATATATATATATATATATATATATATATATATATATATATATATATATGTGTGTGTGTGTGTGTGTGTGTGTGTGTGTGTGTGTGTGTGTGTGTGTGAAAATATATAGAAAATAGGAAAAAAACACGTTAGGTAAATAATCCGAGGTTTTTTAGTATTTCTCTTTTTATTTAAAAAAAAAACAGTGTTCAATACAAAAGTAGAGCCTAAATTATAATTATATTTATTTTTTAAAAAATATGATTCCTTCGCTACATGACAGTTCTCATGTTTCAAAACCAAGAGCCAAAAACTTCAATATAACTGTTAAAATTAAATTGAATTAAAGTATCAAGCTCTGTTTCATCCTCAAGCAAAGTTTTTGAAATAACTAATCTGGAAGTTTACGCATCCTTATAAGCAGATTCATTCGCAGAATGAATTACTATGGAAATGGCTGAAGCAACCAATCCAATAAGAGGCGTAAGGGTTAAGAATTTGTATCAACATATCGGTCACCCTCGGGAAGAGGCCAAGCCAAGGCAGGGCCGGGGTGTCCATTTCAAAGAGAATTATGACATTCCTATACGCTCATAAAAATCTGCTGATAAAGATGCGTAAACTTCAAGATTAGTTATTCCAAAAATTTCGCTTGAGGATTAAACAGGGTTTGATACTTTAATTCCTTTCAGTTTTAACAATTATATTGAAGTTTTTGGCTTTTGTTTTTGAAACATGAGAACTTTTATGTAGCGAAGGAATCATATTTTTTTTAAAATAAATATAATTATATATATATATATATATATATATATTTTGTGAAATTTATATATCAACAAACCGTATTTATAAAAATGAGTAAAATAGAAAACGAAAAAGTATGCAGATCATTTCAGCTAGATTAAAAAAAAATATTTCAAAAATATTCTTTCAAATATTCGTTTCGTGCGCATGTGTAGACGTGGCAACGTCATCAAAACCCAGTCGATGAAATGCTAACGTGTGAAATGCGTCACAAAATAACCCTTCCAGTTTATCACAATTTTATATATATATATATAGATATATATACACCCACACACACATAATATTATATATATATATATATATATATATATATATATATATATATATATATATATAAAAGAATATAATTTAGGTATGCTATATTTAAGGTTAAAAGTGCTCAACATCGAGTAGAGAGCGTGTGTAAATATAAAAGCGGATACTGAGGTCAAGCAATTTGTCGCATCAAACAGACTGTCGCTGCTTGTAATGACCTCAGTATTTATTTATTTATTTAGATTGATAGATAGATAGATAGATAGATAGATAGATAGATAGATAGATAGATAGATAGATAGATAGATAAAAAAATTTGAATGACTTACCTTCCGGCTTCACAGGCACTGATCCACTCATCCGGATAAGATAAATCTACTGAATTTACTAACAGATATCACTTCTATTTTAAAATATGCTGTAAATAAAAAAAAGAAGTTATTATTAACTTTAAATAAATATTAAATTAATTCTATCATAAAAACATTTTAATCTGACATCTTCTAATCTAAAATTGTTTGTTTATATATATTGGATAATCTTACGGTTATAAGAAAGCATTGTCCGAAGAAAACTTAATTAATATTTTAAATGTTTCTCTTTATAGTTTATTAAATGTTAGACATTTAAATCATCGTAATGTCCAAAATTAATTATTGTATTTTTCGGCATGCATCATTATTTATTTTTATTCATTTACTTTTTATTTGTTTATTCATTTATTTATTTCATGTTTTACTTTGAGCACTTTATTTACATAAAACTGCTCGCCTTAATTGCGTTATCCTCTAGTAATTTACTAGTCAACTGGTTTTATTCAGCATAAGTTATCATTGTTATATATAGATACACACACACACACATAGGTTGCTGTTGTAGCTAAATCTCATGCCACAAACCCACAAAAGCCACCTTGTCCCTCTCGCTCTCACTGTCATTGGAACATCTTCCTGTGCCAGATCAATTTGCTGGTGGTGCTGACGGACGATGTCCTTCCAGTGGCTGCGTGGTTTGCTGCGATGTCGTTGTCAGTATGGCGTGTCGAACTTGTAGATGAGTGTGGTAGAGGAGGCCATCAGATCCTCACAGGACGTGACCGACCCAGCGACCACAGCGCTGTTAGGTCGTAGTCCCTGAGCTGAACACCAGGGAAGCAGACGCGCACTGTATCCTAGAAGTGATCAATGATGTAGTTGAATAATTCAGGGCGGCTACACAATCCTGGACGACGCAGGCAGCAATCAGAAATCAGCCGGAAATGTTTCCATTGATCTGCACGCAACTCTCAGTCCCGCCATAGAGCATGATTCTAACTTGGTGAAAAAGGATACATTGAGTAAAAAAAATGATGGGTACCGCTGTTCTAGTGTTTGAAACAAATAAAAACCTGTAGGTGCTAAATTTGGTGAATGCGGAAAATATTGACGAACTTCCCATTCTAATTATATTATTTTTTTCATAGATTTACCATAATTCCCAATGTATAATGCGCCTTCATCCATAATACACGCACGTAAAATTATGCTGAAAGTGAGGGAAAATGCTTCTACTCATGCATAATGTGCACTCCTTGTTTGGCAAACAAACCCTATAAATGGTATCTACCCAATTTCATTACAGCCAACGTTTCCTACTCCTATTTAAAAATGTTTTAAACAGAATAATATTATTCTAATTTAGTTTTATGATAATTCTTGTTTTATTTCACAGCAATTGTTTTAAGATTTTTTTATAGCAGTGCATAATACGCACCCCTGATTTTGCTTATTATTTTTAGAAAATAATGCGTATTATACATGGGGTATTACGGTATTTTGCAGAGTGTGCCTATGATTTTATTATGACACAAATAACTCCTTTTTCCGTTTACCAAAATCGGACACTTTCCATTCAATGCTTCGTTTATTCGCTCAAGTTGTCTGCAGTGATGGTCCCTCTATGTATCAACGGCTCGTAATGGACGACACCTTTCCCATGCCACCAAATACAAAGCAAGTATTTCTTTAGCTGGAATCCTAGTTTTGGTGTTAGTACTGGTTTCTCATTTTGTGGTAAGCAATGTCCTTTTCGTTTTTTGTTGATATTCCAAACCCATTTTTCATCACCAGCGACAATGACGCAAAAATGAAAGATTGGTATTTCTAGTTTAGAGACGGTTGCAGATAGTGGAAAGTTATGTTTGGTTCACAAACGAAAACTCATGAAGAACAAAAAGTTCTCTCTTTGCAAATTTTCCCAATTAAACATCGCAACACACTATAAACAAAGTACCTTAAGGTCGATAAGATGATAAACGAATTTTAGACGCAGTTAATTACCATTTAATCTTGGTCTTGTCTCACAATTCTTTGCGGCAAAATTCATCATTTATTTCCGATCGCATTTATTAAGGTATTTAATTAACAGAAAATATTTTATAGGATAAATAGCCCATTGAATAGATAGTGAAAGGTCCGGATAACACTAGACTGGTGTGCAAAACTTTTGGGATACCTTGGTTACTTAATTATTTTGTTAATTATAGCCCAAAATCCAGAGTCATAAGTAGTATTCTTTTCTTGTTACATATTATGGTCTTTGTGGAATAGAATGCAAGTTAATGCGGTATTATGGATGATTAAGCATCTTAAACAAATTGATGCTGTAAAAAGCCCATACAAAAATATTTGTCCACCAGAGAAAATTCCATCTTTCAGCTCTTTTCTTAAAAAAGTATTTTTTTTTCTTTAATTTCTAAAAAGTTATCTTTATTTTTACAGGAAGTACAAAACGTCAAAAGATGGAGTTAATAATTAGTGTTTCTGCATTTGGCTTGAATAATTGCCTCATTTTGATTTGGCATTGAATGGAACAAAGTTCAGATTTTCCCATTGGGAATTTTCTCGTATTCTTCTTGGCAGTAATCGCAAAGCTCTTGGAGATTGCGTGGTTTTCTTTGGCGTTCTCGTTTCTTCAGTTCCCGCCGCAATGCTTCAATGATACTGAAATCAGGACTTAGTGTTGGGCACTCTTCCAAAAGTTGAAAATCTTCATCCACAAGAAATCTTTTTGTTGTACAAAAATATCGGAATAGAAAATTGAAGTGGTCAAGAAAATATCTAACATGGAATAATGGAAAGTGGCAAAACGCAATCTTTAGTAATAAATATAAAGTAGAGTTACATTCTAAAACAGGAGAATGTGTAAGAAGACCAGTAGAAGAAACACCATCATGCTAAAAAAAAAAAAAAAAAATTCTACATCTTCGTAGTCTGGTAGAAAATTAGATCGTAATAAACTAATTTAGCTTTCGCTGTTGATGATTCCATCAACTTTTACCAATTTTCTTCCGTCATGGCTTTTCATGCAACCCCATACCATTAAGTGTTCAACACCAAATTTTACCGTATGATGTATCGTGAATAGTTTCTTTCTTCTATTGGTCTTCTCTTGTTTTAGAATGTAACTCTACTTTATATTTATTACTAAAGATTGCGTTTTGCCACTTTCCATTATTCCATGTTAGATATTTTCTTGACCACTTCAATCTTCTATTCCGATGTTTTTGTGGTTTATAATGTTTTTGACGAGGAGGCATGGTGGGATAATGGATAGCGTCTTGGATTGAGAAATCGGAGAGCCGAGTTCGAATTCCAGTCAGATCCATTACATTCAATTACGTGATAATACCCTTACGAAAGGGACGAGTCCTCTTCTTCCCCCCTCCCCCCGAGATATAGGTAAATAGTACAGACCGGATTCTCTAGCCTTGGATGGCAACTGGTCTACCGCAGAAAGAAATCGCAATCTACTGCGGGAAAAAATCTGCCTCGGCAGTCATGTATCGAAAGATACACGATCGCCTAAGCGTGTATCACGTATGGCACATGACTGACTGATTTTTTTTTTTTTTTTTTTTGCTACTGTTCAAGATTTTTTGGTAATAATCTGCGTAATGTGTCAACTGAAACCCCATTCTTAAGACTGTATTCACTAATCACTTGTCTGGCTGTTAATTTTGGATTGTCTACCGAATTTTTTATAATCTTTCTTTCATCTATATTGACTAACTTTTGTCAAAAGACGGTACTCTTTGCACTACTTCCAGTAATAGCAAACATCTTTTGTGTGGTTTGGACGCTGTTCAATATGATTTATTTTATTTTTTTCTTAATACTAATATAATATATGCGCACAATAAATGCACTTCAATATACCGTCTCCTGTGTTAAATGATATTTTATTTAATATGGGCTGTTTAAGCCGTTACACATGATCTCGCGCTAATCCATTTGAAACATCAATCTTCCCAAAGAATACCGGGATGAAGACACAGGAATTCTAAGTACCCCAAAGACACCACATTGGTCTTTGATAACGATTGCGATAGTCGAAAGTACACGAACAAAAATAGCAAAATATGAACTTCTGACAGTTTATCAAATACTCAACATCTCATCCGAAAATTGGAAAAATATAATAAAAAATGAAACAGGCAGAACTTGTCGGTTATTTTTAATTAAATTTCTTTGTATTAATACTTGCTGACTAAATATACCTTATATATAAACAGAGGGCATCAAAAGTAGGTATACAGTAAGTATTATACCAGTATTATAATAGTGGCTCTAGGATTCATTTAGTACTAGAATTCATTTAATTCATTTTATATATATGTATTGATACGTTTATATAATCAATACAATACGTTCTGTGTGCACGCTTTGTTTTTCATTACTGGATACCTACTTTTTCATCCCCTGTATATATATATAATTTAGGATTATGTCGTTTTACAAAATAATTGATTTCTTTATCATTATTCGATGGACTTTTGTTTAAAAATAATAAAGAAACATTTAATTTAGTTTTTTTTTGTTTTTTTTTTGTGTTTTTTTTCAAAATTTCACCCCAACACGAAATCTTTAAAATGTATAAATATGTATAAATATACTATGACTTTCTGGAACCTTCTACAATTTTATGGAACCTTCTACAATTTTTTGTTTATTTGTAAGTTTGTATATCATGCTATAGCTATAAACTGTTAAATGCGTTAAAAATATATAATTAGCAAATTGACAAATTCTTCAAGTTTGAAATTTTTGTTTCTTTGTAATGTTGTATGTTATGCTATAGCTATAAATTTGTAAATGTGTTCAAAAAATTCCTATTCAATTGCATCATTTGCAAGGTGAAACCATGTATCAGGAATAGTTCATTTCACAGTTGCCCAGAAGATAGTTCGAGATGTCACTGAAACGCAAGAAAAAAAATGAGATATGCGTACCAGATATAGTAAAACGTCTCGTAATAGTTCACTTTAGAACATGAGAAAAATGTTTTAATGCTTTCAACTAAGGAGAAACTTTGAATTACAAACATTAATGAGGAAAAAAACACAAAAACATGAAGAAAAATTAAATTCTATGTTAAGAAAAGCATGCAAATCCAATGGAACCTCGGTTCACGAATTTAATTCGTTCCTGAAGCCCGTTCGTAACTCGAAATGTTCGTAAATTGAAACTATTTTTCAGTAGTAATCAATGTAAAATGGATTAATCTGTTCCTGGTCACAAGATCATTGCTTATTTAAACTTTAACAACAGTACTTTGTGCATAAAACTAATGAAAAATCAATAAATTGTGCATAAAACTAATGAAAATCATTAAATTTAAGGAAAAAAATAAATAAACCCAATACTAAACAGATAAAACACTTCAATTTTACTGTACATGCGTGTAGGAGATTTGATGACGTAAGTGGAAGAGGAAGGAAAGAGATGTTATTGTTTGGAAAAGGGAAGGAAAGACATGATCATCTCTTTATTTATAAGAATAGTATAGATCGTTAATTTTACCATATGAAACTGAGTAGGAAGAGACAATATCATCATCATCATCATCATCATAGAGACAATATCATCAACAATTGTTTTTCTCTTAACTTTTCTTTTTTCCTTAACATGCGAGCTTTCTTTGGAGCCATGACTGAGTAATAATGAAAAGAGAAAAAAAAAGACACAGTACAATAAAATTGGTAAAAGAAAATCGCATCACAACACACGAATGTATACAACGCGATGGTCGACTAAGAAATGATTCTGTTCGGGTTAACTCGGTCGGGCTCGGTTTGGCTCGGTACGGCTCGGTTCGACTCGGTTCGTCAATGTTGTTCGAGAACTGAAATTTTGTTCGATAACCGGGGCATTTTCATTTCGAATATTCCGTTCGAAAGCCGATTTGTTCGACACGTGAGACGCCGAGAACTGGGGCTGCACTGTATAGAAACTAAATTTTACCAATGGATTTTTCATCCATTCTGTATGATTATATCTCAAATACCAAACACGCATGCCCATCAGATGAATTCCCAACCTGTCACGTTTCTATCTTGTCGCGATATCTCTAATGCTTTTCTTTTCGATCTAATCCCTCATATAAGTGCCACCTCCCGACAGTCTCTTCAACTGAGAAGAGCGCGAGTTTTAATAAACAATTTATTGAAACTAAGCAGATTTCATCGCTCAATAAGCTGGGTTTTCTTTGTCAATATCTGATGTTCAGTACAGGATAGATTTCTCTATTTATGAGTGAAAAAGGGTACATATTAAAAGTTGTAGGGGAATGTGGCAAGAGAAAGAACGAACGAACGAAAGAAAGAAAGAAAGAAAGAAAGAAAGAAAGAAAGAAAGAAAGAAAGAAATGTTTTGTAAATAGGTATCGATTATTGAGAGAAAGCGAAAAAATATATAAATAAAACCATTAACGAATAACAAAATAAATTCAAATAAAATTGACAAATATGCTTTTTATGATGTTGAAAAAGAGATTGTAATTTTTTAAAAGTAAGGTAAAAAGAAACGTGTAAACAAAAACAAAAAGACGTAAGAGAAGGAAAAAAGAAAGAAAGAAAAACGAAAGAAAGAAGAAAGAAAGAAAGAAAGAAGAAAGAAAGAAAGAAAGAAAGAAGAAAGAAAAAGAGGGAAGAAAATTTAAATGATACAGAAAGAAAGAAAGAAAGAAAGAAGACTAGATGCTACAGAAAGAAAAAAGAAAGAAAAAATCTAAGTGATGAAGAAAGAAATGTAGGAAAGAAATACTAAGTGATGCAGAAAAAGAGAAAGAAAAAAGAAAGAAAGGAGAGAGATAAGTGACATAGAAAAAAGAAAAAGAAAGAAAAAGAATGCCTAAGTGACAAAGAAAGAAAAGAAAAAAATGACTAAATAAAACGAAGAAAGAAAAAGTTAAAAAAAAAACTGAGAAAGAAAGAATGAATGAATGAGTCGAAGAAATGAAAAAACTAAGAAAAAAGAAAATATAAGATAGAAAAATGTCTAAGTGATAAAAAAAAAAGAAATACTAACTGATGCAGAAAGGAAGAATGAATAAGGGATAAAGAAAGAGGAAAGTAATATTTAGAAAGAAAGAAGGAAACGAAAGAAAAACGATCACTTTTCTCTCCCTCGTCTCTTCTCTCTCTCTCTCTCTCTCTCTCTCTCTCTCTCTCTCGATATAAATGATCTGTTCATAGAGGATAGTTTATAAAAGTGAAATTATCTGTATGTCTGCTGCAGCGGTTAATTCTTCATCTTTGTGATCGGTGGATGCGTTGATTCTATCTAAAAAGGGAGTGGCCATTTGTGATGAACCCAGGAAAAGTAACAAACTACGTCTGGCTTGATCGTTATGGCGCGGCGCCAGTAGTGCGAAAAGGTGACAGAACAGCAAATCAAATTAAAGAAAACAAAAATAAGATGAATAAAATAAAGCAGCAATAATAATGTTAGTCGGAAAGGACTGGCCAATGGTATTGGAAGCGAGGAAGCCGAAAACAACTGAAGAGAAAGGAGCTTAGGTAGGGCGGGAGGGAGAGTCCCCTCCACCCCACCCCGAATTGGTGTAATGAAAGAAATATAAATTGGAGTCAAGGGAAGGACACGGGCGAGGGGATAAAAAGAAAAGAAAAGAAAAAAAAAACTGAACGCCGTATGTGGCTTCTTCCGCAGACAGTATTGATCTTGAATAAATAAAATAAGGACTTTTTCGTCACGACGGGAAAGTAAGCGAGTCTTAACGACCAAATCAGGGAGATATATGACCTGGCTCGCATTTTTCACGTCTTCTCCACTTGTGTCTTAGGCACACAAGAACGCGCATGCGTATGGAGCCGATGGATTGGAAAAAAAGACATTTCTCTCCCTTCCTTTCTCATTCAGTGTTTTCTATTTCCCAAAGTTAATACTGTGTACCGTATTGGTAACAGCTGGTACATGTCTAATGTATCCACAGGAGGATAAAATATCAAACAGAATAAAATAAAGAAAAATCAAAAGACAGAAGAATGATACTTTAACGGGGAAATAGAAAAGAATGGCGATAAATTCGAGAAGGAGAAACGTATATCAAAGATTTGCTTGGACTTGTAAATTGAATGTTTGGAGTGTAACTCTGTTCTTGCCAATAAAGAGTTTTATTATTATTTCTTGCTTCTAAGAAGTTATTTTTAATAGCAATTCGGTGGAACCGATTAAATAAATAGGCTTATTCATTCATAATCACAGCCCCTGTACTAAGGAAAGAAATGCGGAAATTTTATCAACCTTTATCACACTTTTGTTATACAAAAAGTTTATTCTGCGACTGAAGGTGACTCTGATCCGTGAACAATAGTGTATCTGAATTTTATAGCTGTGTTGTTATATCCTGTTATGGAAATACAAAACAACTTTAAGTGAAATTAATAATTAGGAGGCAATTGAGAGGACTTGGAAAAGAATGTAGTAAAAGTAGAAAGTATCTGTCTATATTTTTGAGATGAGGTATTATGTACACTATTTACATTATTCGGACTATTGTACTCATCTTTGTCACCATATTTATCACAACATTTCGGCCGTTGTACGCTATGGCCTTCTTCAGGTGGCTGGAATGACGAACTGAACCCTTTATTTCGCTTAATGTTCTAGTTCCACGTGTCATGTTTAATGGATGTCAGTTATCAGTTATCTCCTGCTAATTCCCCTCTGAAAGTTCTCCACTGCCTTAACCGGATATTGAACTCACAGTCTTTGGGTCCTGTCACTGGATCTAACTAACTTTATGCATTGTGCCATGTTACCCCGGTGAGAGAAATAAAGGGTTCAGTTCGACATTCCAACCACAACGGCCGAAACGTTGTAATAAATATAGCGACAAAGATAAGTAGAAAGTAATATTAATAATGCAGTTTACTAGAGGTTAAGAAGATCTAAGAGTTTAGTGCAATCATTTTCAAATTGTTAATATAGAAACAGATTCTACTCAGTAGGGAACTGACCAAAAATCATTCATATATATATATATATATATATATATATATATATATATATATATATATATATATATATATATATATATATATATATAGTGGACTCCGTCGTTGATCGACACGGGCTCTCTACCCACGCCTACTCAGGCCACTCAGTTCCCAGGAAGCGACAACCTGCATATGATTTGATTTATAGTGGTGAAGGTCTTGTGAAGAACAAACCACACTTTTTGAAGAGCCGAATACAGAAACCTAGTGCACCGTGTGACACAAGGTCCCCAAACGACCCTCCGTTTTGAATTGAGTTGTCCTACTCCTAGACCAAGGCTATATTTAATTGGGAGGAGAAGAAGAGGGTATTAGAACGTAAGTGAATGTAACAGATCCGACTGGAATTCGAACTCGGCTATCCGATTCCTTAATCCAAGCCCCTATCCATTACTCCACAGTGCTTCCTTTCTTTATATACAAGTGATAGAATTTTGGGGGATTAGAATTGGCTAGGATTCTTCTAGACGCGTTGAATTAATATAATGATTATTGTAATCCCCCAAAATTCTATCACTTGTATATCTTTGCTTGACCCAGCTAATGCTCTGCAATGGACCGACTAAGGGGAAGGAAGACGTTGCACTTGGAGCACAACCCGTTGGGTTTGAGTACTTGGATGAGTATCACCACGGAATTTGTGAGTAGCGGCGCTATATCAAGTCTAGTCAGTTTCTTCTTGGTCACCGTTGGTCCAGTGCTATGAAGCTTGCATTGTATTGTATTCTACTGATGAGTCCCAAATAGAACGAAACAGATGTCCAGTGTTTTGCACATTCTGTTGAGGATTCTTTATAATGTATCTATGTGTGGTTATTTTTTTTATTTATTAATCAAACAGATTTTATCAGATAAACGTTATTTTTAAGGGGATACCCATATTTGAGTAGACGCTCTGTTTATTTATTAAACAGTATATTTATTTGTTTTCATCTACCGAACATTCGAGAAATGCTATTCGACTTTGCCTGATCGGCGGTGAACTCTGTGGTCGAGTCGGTCGAAAGCACGTCGGATCTAATGACGGTTTCTCCTGCAAAGTGTGTGTGGGGGGTTCGCAAGTTCTAATCCTGAGAGAGAGAGCATATATTTTCGTCTTTAGTAAGATTTCTCGAATATTGAGGCCGATAGGGGAAAATGAATATACTGTTTAATAAATAAACCCAGCGTCTAAACAAATATGTGTATCCACTAAAAATAACTTTTAAGTGATAATATATGTATGTATATATATATATATATGTGTGTGTGTGTGTGTGTGTGTATGTTTGTGTGTAAGTAAATATTGGTACATCGTTATAAATGTAAACAAAAGAAATATTTAATATTACCCAGTGCTGGATTTAAATATGAGCTGCAGCCCAGGGGGCCCATGTCTATAGGGAGCTCCAAGGTCTCTCTAGTCTTCGGTCAATGATTAAAATAATGATATAAGAACAGAGGAGATTTGTTTATTTCCAGATTTAATAGGGCTCCTTTGAATTAATTCAAAGCAATTTAGAGTATTTGGGACTCTCTAGCTGGAGTGGTTCTTTAAAATTTGATGGGGTCCCATGTAGATATTGATGCATCTTTTTATATGCATATAGATTTTGACGTAGCAAGGCTGTAGCAAGTAAGAATTTTTCTTCTCTATAATATTTATGTCTTTCAGATGCTTTGCTAGTAAATTTGAATACTATAATTTCAATGTCATACAGTCACTTAATTCTAGATGCATTCCCGTAGGATGTATAGTTCAGATAAAAAATATCATGAAATTGCTAATTAAATAACTTGGATAAGTAACAAAATCATTAAAGATTTTAGTTGAAGAGTTTCATGTTTTAGACCGACAAAAACATCATTTAAATATATATTTTTATAGACACGGGGAAGGGAACACACGTAATGAAGAGGCCTCAAAATTCTATTACGCCAGGTGTCTTTTAAACCCTAAATCCGGCCGTGATATTACTGCTTGTCTAATTAATAATATAACTCCATATTTGAATAATTTATATGAATTATTTGAATTATATTTTTGCCTTTGCGTTTCTATACGTTCCATAATCAATAAAATAATTCTTATCAGAAGTCCAGACGAGCAAGTAATCAAGAAACACAGAACTGACATCTGATACGTATTGAGGGAGTTTATTGTTTTCAGATATATATATATATATATATATATATATATATATATATATATATACATATATATATATATATATATATATATATATATATATATATATATATATATATATATATATATATATATATATATATATATATATATATATATATATATATATTTATATATATATATATATATATATATATATATATATATATATATATTATGAAATAAAAATGACAATAGAAAACTGGTAATTGTTGACGCGTTTCGTCCAATGTGGACTTTATCAAAGCAAAATATTTTACCAGTTTTCCTATTGTCATTTTTATTCATAAATATTGTCTTCTCTACCGATTAAATCGGAGAGAATATATATATATATATATATATATATATATATATATATATATATATATATATATATATATATATATATATATATATATATATATATATATATATATATATATATATATATATATATATATATATACAAATCTACAAGTGGTAAGAATCATCCAAAGGAGGCCTTTTTTTTATAGAAATATTTAAAATTTTAATGCATCATTTTTTAATTATCTGGGTGAATTTATGTAATAAAATGTATATGTCAGAAGAGGCAGGTAAAAATTATCTGACGAAATAAACCTATTACCATTTTTAATGTGATTTTAAGTGTTTTTTTTTATTTTTTGCTATGAATTCTCTCCATCCATTTATTTATCTATCTATCTATCTATCTATCTATCTATATATATATATATATATATATATATGCATACATATATATATAAATATAAAAGTCAACATTTACACACGCTCTATCTCTGATATTGAGCACTTTATCCCATAAATATAGCACACCTTAAGACTATATTTCTTCATATATATATATATATATATATATATATATATATATATATATATAGATAGATAGATAGATAGATAGATAGATAGATAGATATAACTGGGATAAAGATCTTATATACATAGGTAATTATAATTCATATTCAATACCGAATTTCTAAATTTTAATGTTCATTTAGTGATATATTCTATATTCAATCTTCTCAATGGGATATTTTCTTCTTCTATGTGCTGTATCCCTTCAGGACGTCGCCGATCATGGTTCTCCACAATTTCCCTGTCCTTTGTAAAATTTGTCTTTTTAGTATCTCTCCTAAACCCTGTTCTGTCAACCATTTTAGACAAACTCGTTAGTTAGTTTATGCGCTCTTTCCTGCTGACCTGTTTGCCTTGTCCAGTGTGTGTCAAATTTCTAAGCCCGCTTTCCTCATTACGTACCCTAGACATTTCAACTGTCTCTTTCTGATTTTAACAGTAAGTGTCCTTTTTGTTTTCCTCTAAAATTTCGCAGTTACTCACATGAACGGTCCACATTTTTGTAGCTTTGTCTATTCATCATCCACTTCTATATAGGAGAAATATATTATTACATAACAGTTTAGTAGTTTTGTTTAAAATAGAAATATTTTGCTTCAAAAACTGTAAAGAACTAAAACAAATACACAAATTCATTTTTATAGGAACTTTATAGAAATATCCTTTTTCCTATTGTCTGATGCTGTAAGGCGTTATTCAAATTATCGCTACTCAGTTACAGGCTTCATCAAGTTTAGGCCAGAAATATATTCAGTGATATATTTCTGCTCGTAAGAAATAGTCGTACAAACCTCCAGTACATTTTCTTGATCCAGTTACTTTAAAATATACACACCTAATGTAATAACTGTATGCGTGTAAATAAAAAAAAATCATTTGTAACTATCTCATC